CCTTTATCATTTACTTTTCAACTTTTTGTACTAGAATGCATTTTCCTTCTCTATTAATACTGGACTTGACCATTTGACTTATTTTGTCTAATGGAATGAATATAGAAGGGACAGCAACAATTTGGAGAATATACCTTAAGAGAACTGTATGTTTCTATTAGCCTCTCTTGTATTTCTCTCATTGCCATGTGAAGAACATGCTTCAGGTAGCCTACTTGTCCAAGGGGAATGAGAAAAACATGGAGCAGATCTGGATCTCAAAGATGTAGCTTGGAGCAAGCTCAGCCAGGACTGCAGAATACATTTTGTCTTATGTTACTGAGTTTTAATATTTTTTGTTAAGTAACATTATTGTGAAAATAGCTGATTGAAAGACAAGTAAACAAAAATACTTAGTATAAGATTTTATAAAGAACTCCTAAAAATTAATAAGGAAAAGATCATCTAATAAGGAAAAATTCAATAGGGTCAATATATGAAAAGGTAGTTCACAGAAAACTACAATGACCAATAAATAAATGAAAAGATTCTTAGCATGCTTTACTAGTTACTGAGCAAATATAAATATCATACTTATTAGAGGTAAAAATAAATGTCTAGCATTATTGTAGTATCGATGAGAATGTGAAGGAAATAGAAATTTCATGTGTAGATAATAGAATATTCAAAAAAGGGTGTACTAGACAAGAGACACATGAAACAAGATTCTTTTCAAGGAATATTATAGACAAAGGATTAAACTTAGGGTATACAGGAAATTCTTGCAAATCAATAAGGAAAAAGACAACCTAGGAGAAAAATAGAGGAAGAATACAAAAAAGCAATTCACAGAAAGGATACTTGAATGGCTGGCTAATCAACCTCAAAAGAGACTACCAATGAACACGGGTAATCAAAAGTGCAAATTAAAACAGCAATGAGATATACTTTAGATCTACCATGTTGGCAGTGGTTAAAATGTCATGCAAACCTTGTGATGTGGAGGTGGAGACACATGAACCCCTTATGCTTTGCCGGTGGCATTATTTTGGAGACCAATTTGGCAGTGTTTATTGAAACTGAATAATTTACATTCTAACCCAGAAATTTGACTTCTGAATTGTGTTAATTTGCTAGGGCTGTCATAACCAAATGCCACAGAGTGACCTGAATAACAGAAAGAATTCCCTCAAAGTTTTGGGAGTTAGGAGTAAGAGAGGAAAATGTCATATGCTACTGAGTTATAGAGTACTTGGTTATATAGTATTATTGTGGGAATTGCTCACTAATTGGATCAATGACACATGAAAAGATAATTCTTAGGAAAGAAAACTGGAATGACCAATAAATAAATGAAAAGACACTTAACTTGCTTTGCTAGTTATCGTGTAAATACAAATATACAAATACAAATTTACCCAGTAAAGTCAAGGTATTGGCAGGTTTGGTTTCTTCTGAGACCTCTTAACTTCAGATGGCCACCATCTCTTATGTTTTATTCTCTGTATGCTAATTTTTGATATTTTTCTGTCTGTCCTAATCAACCTTTCTTTTAAGGACACCAATCAGATTGAGTTAGGGCTTACTCTAATGGCCTGATTTTAACTTAATCACCTCTTTAAAGGCTCTATTTCCAAATACAGTCGTATTCTGAGATAATGGGAAAAACTCAGCATATGTATTCTGAAAGGACACAATTCAGCTCATAACAGATTGTATATATCAGAGATTGTTGCATAGGTACACAACGAGACATGTATAAGAATGTTTATTAAAGCATTATTTCCCATAGCAAGAGTTGGCTACAATGTAAATGTTCAATAGGGGTATGGACAGATAGAATACATTATAAATGCATCAGAGAGAAAGCTACACAATGGAAAGTAAGGGAACAAACTATCCATTATATTAGTTGGGAACTCATTTTTCTTCAATAACAAGTCTGGATATAAGCAGTTCAAATGATATCAAGGGCCCAAGTTCTTTCTGTAATTCAGCTCTGTCATCCTTGTTGAACTTTGCAGTAAGACTGCTTTATTTTCAGATATCATACTACAGTCAGGAGAAAGAAAGAACAAAGGCCATGGCAAGCATATCTGACTCCCTTTTTATAGGGAAAGCAAAAGCTTTAGTTTTAGCAGACATCTGCTGACATCTCATTGGTCAGACTTTTGTTACATGCCATCTGAGTTGCAAAGAGGGGAAGGAAATCAAATGTCCTACTTCCATAGCAGGAATAGGCAAGTGAGACAGGTTGGGGCTATGTGTGGAGTAAGCAAACCTGCAGTATTTAGTACATCTGTATGGTTCAACACGGATAGACACCAAAACCAGTGCTGAGAGTGGGTGGGGTAGAAAGAGATGGAAGTACAATACTATTTGTATAAATTTAAAAATACTTGCACATGTAAAACTACTGTAGATATATATAGTGTATGTAAAGATAGTTGTGGCAGGTTGATTGGAAAGGCACCCACTAACTAGTATAACAAGGAGGGAGAGGAAGGGACCTGAGGAAGGTGTATGAGTATAATGACAACAACAAAACCACAGGCTTTTTACAAAAGACCAGTTCTATCAGTGTTTGATTGATTCTGAAAAATCAACTGAGGAGTTTGATGATATCAATCTAGTTCTGTGCACCCAAGACTAAGAAGGAAAAAAGTGGGTTGACTTTGGGGAGTATGTGGGTTATTTAGACTATGGGGAGGGCCTCTTATCATTTGAAGTCAAAGACATGTGATTCATTGTATTTGTGATTGAATTTAATTATTTTACCTTTCTATGTGATGAGCTTCATTCTTTTGAGTACAATTGAAGGAATGATATAATAGTTTACATTTAGTGAATATGGCAGTTATTTTTTGGACAATTTAGGGATATTGTCATTTTTGCAAAATTGAATTTCTTTGCTTTTGTATATTTATTTTGCTTTATTATGCAAAATCAGTAGGCTTTACTTTTAGAGAGTCAATGGGAGACAAGAATAATATAAACATGGCTACTTGGTAGTGAAACCCATCACTCTAGTTTTCTGTTATTATCTTTGGAAGCAGAGCGTGGGAGAAAGGATTTCCTTTGCTCTATATAGACTCAGCAACTGAGTGGCTCTCTGCTCTGGAATGAAGCAGGTTGGCACAACTCCAGAAGTCTTACATGGGAACAAGACAGAGGTTTCCATTTTTTAAAAAAATATATATATTTTTAGTTGTAGATGGACACAATACCTTTACTTTATTTGTTTATTTTTACAAGTTCATTCTTTGGGTCTTTAGATCTGCTTTATTTTTTCTGTGTTTGAACTTAGGAAACTTGTTGTCTGTGAGATAATAATAGCTTAAGCATAGAAAAAAATTTTATCTTTACTCAAGATAAATTTGTGGTAATTAGCAAATTATATGATAAATATTTATTTTTAGGATAAATCAGACAAACTGATGTTCAGAATTCACTTTACAAATTAAGTGAATTTTAGTTGTAAAATAAAGAACTTGCAGATTCTGAAGTGTGTTAGTCTCAACACTGCATGCTCATCAGAAATATAATAATGTTTTGATAACTGGAACCATATATTTTAAAATTAACCTGTAGCATCTAATAGATAATGGACAATTAGCAAATATTAAAAGATAAGAAAATGTAAGTTAAGTGGCTGTGGCTCAGTGGTAAAATGCTCACCTCTCATGTGTGAGGCCCTGGGTTCAACCCTCAATACCACATAAAAATAAATAAATAAAATAAAGATATTGTGTCCAACTACTACTAAAAAAATAAATATTTAAAAAAAGAAAATATAAGTTAAGCAGTTTGCAAATGTCATATATAACTTTGAAAAGAGACTATAGTTTAGTTCTGCTTCCTATGGGTTTTCTGATGGGATTTTGGATTCTTATGTAAGATTTTTGTTTGTTTGGTTTCATGTGCCAGAAGAATTGAGGGTTGTGGAAAGTCTTTCTGATGGTTAAACCCAGCTCTGCTATTTCTTAGCCTTCTAATGCTTTTCTTTCAGAGGATGCATCTGATGGAGTTGATAGAGGAAGAAATAATGCTAGTTTGTCATAGAGAAGAAGGAAACACTAATGTGGACCTTATAAGTCAAATTTCTATAGGCAAAATAAAATAGAAGTATTTCTAAACACATTTATCTAAGGAAAGTCTACTTGTTGGGTTGCAATGCTGTGTGCATTCAGAATCTAATGACGCCCTCAGCTGGCCAAATAAGGGATTACATTTAAAAATGAATGGCATTTAAAAAAAGTAGGACTGATTGATGTATTAATCATCAAAGAATCAAGCGATACAAAGTGATGTGAAATAATATAGGAAAAATTACATAATTGAAAAAATAAGCCAATGTATTGATTAAATATTTTCCAACTGACACTAATGGAGTTTTAAAATATTTTGGTCTATTATTTTACCATGGAAGTAGACCATAAGGAAACAATGCAGTAGGGGAGAAATTCATGGATATCCTTCCTGTATGTCTAAAACCAATTCTGAGTAATCCAACATATTTAAATTGCTTTTATTAATTAATTGTTCTTAAATTACTATTGTAAGGTCTATTGGTATATATTTAAAGGTGAGATAAGAACTGTTTCTCTCTGGGTATCTTGTTTTAATTTCTGTTAAAAATAATTGGAATATTCTTAAAATTTAGAAACTTGATAGCTTCAGGGAAATATATAGCATGCCTGCTTTGTATTTTTTTATTTCTGCTTATACAAATTCTCAAAGCCATTTTGAAATTTATAGTATTTTGGGTACATAACATATGTGAAAATTGAGTTTAAAAGTCGATCCTAGGCAGTTATTCATTATTTCTTTGCAAATGTGAAAAAGAATTTCATATCTGTTTCTGCTGTTAGATATTTCCCTTCCTGGGCATGTTGCTTTAAGAGCACCCATCCCCCACTTCTTGCTTGAGCCACTGTGTCCTGTCAGTCATCCTGAAATACACTAGAGTGCTTGTCAGGCTGTTTGCTTACAGATGCATCATAAGCCAAATTGTGAGCCATAATAGTGGCACTGAATTTCTAAACACAAGAAATTGCTTAGACAGTTGGTTTAGTATCTGTGTATGGGCAATACTCTGTCCTGCAGTAGGTGAGTGAAGTGTCAAACTTTTAAAAATCAAACTTTGTATAGGGCAAATCCTAATAATTATAGATTATCTGTTGATTGGTTAGATAACTTGGGGGGGGAAATGAAAGAACTATAAAATGTGATGAATGGAAGCTATGCTGTGCATTTATTACTTTTATAACTAATTTTCCTTTTAGCAACACTAAACTCTAGACTACTTTATAAAAGTTCCAACTTAAGATGTCTACTTTTTTGAGATCAACAAGCATTTCAGATTTGGATGAAAATGTGATTCTTGAACACATTTTTTCTTTCACAACTACTCAGGGCGGCTCAACTGAGAAGAGACTTAGTTCTGCTATTTGAAGTGTTTATYAGTGGTTTTAAAAATAGCACTGAAACAAATTCTCATGTTCCAATGCCTGAGCTATAGTAGTCTAATATCAGAGCAATTAAACGTTTCTACTGTGTAACTGAGTTATTACTATTTGAATAACTGTATGCAAGGCACCGGAAAGTTCACATTCATTTGACATAAAAGTTGTACAGCAATCATTTTCTTTATCTGTGTAAACAATTTAATTTTTATTATGGGTTTCTAAGTTTAAATTGTGTATGAATTTTTTTGTATTCAGCCTTAAATATTTTAAAAAAGAGAACCGATAAAGCAAGAAAATGAGGAACTCACAAATTTTGATACTCATGTTCAATATGATAGAGAATAGTTAAGAAGCAATAAGGAGTTTTAAGGCTTTATCTAGGGTAAATGACAAGAGATTGTTTTTGCAGATACATGGAGTGATTATTTATTCCTTACCTGTTCTAGAAAGAATTTGATTTTTATATAAAATGCAAATAGGATAAATTAAATGTGGATCAAAGAAGAAAGAAAAACAAATGTGAAGATATAAAACTGAGCTAAGAATAAAACCAAAACTAATTCCCCACCCATCGAAAAAAAAAAAAAAAGCAACAGTTTTCACTGATGGTTTTTTTTTTTTTTTTTTTTTTTTTTTTTTTTTTTTTTTTTTTTTTTTTTATTGGACGTTCATAACATTACATAGTTCTTAATACATCATATTACACGGTTGATTCACGTGGATTATGAAACTTCCCAGACATGAAGAATGTTCACTGATGGTTTTACAACACCATATTGATTGATGGAAGGGAAAATACAGGGTTACAGAATTTCATGCAAACCAGTTGACTTCCTTACCTTGGATGGCAGTCTGAAGTGAGGAGATTGTATTGAATTGTGAATATTAAGTATACTTTAAATGTCACTTGTATTTTGGTGGAAAAAATGTGGAGAACTGCTAACTTCTTAACTCTAACACTGATTTATGTGGGCATAAATGTGACCCCAAGTTTTCTAGAAGCAGGAAGAAAATTGATTGGTACTTAATTCAGAGGGAAGATTAATAAGGCTTGGTTTTGAGGAAACAACTAGGAGTTAGTTATCTAAATAAAGTCAAATATCTACAAATTAGAGCAGACATGATCAAGCTGATGTTTTAAATAAAATGTATTTGCTATTTTGTATTAATTTGTAAAATAAAGACACTATTTTTTTCTAATGGATTGTAAATGAGATTAGTGACTTTCCTTCTTTTTGCTAATTTAATCTAGCAATAAATTTAACTTGAATTTCAACTTTTGTTAGGTCAAAATTAACTGGATCAATCTAATCGAGAACAAAGTTTTGGTCAGGAGGAAGGAATTGAGAGGACTTCATAATATGCTTTGATAGTCAAATACTCACAAAACACCTACTGTATTGAGGACTCTGAGCTCGGTTTTCTCATACCATAGTACACCCAGCCTGTGTAAGTGAATGAATGAGTTTAGAAACTTGGCTGCTGTCACACAATATATTATTGAAAAAAGAAAAAGAGAGTAGCAGTTAAAATTTTGCTTAGGATCTTTAGGGATATCTTTAGAGATGAACATGATGAGTAAGGGACAATGATTTGGTTCTCTTTTTTTAAATTTAATTTTTAAGAATAAAATCCACAGGAATAATTAAAAAAAACAGTATGAAAATAAATCCCAAAACTTTTGTTTTTGTGGTTTTGTACTATAAACACATATGTAGGATGACTTAGAGTGCTTGCCAGAAAAAATTATAAATCAAATCTATAACACATAACTGATTAGGTACATGGGTAACATTGAGGATAACCTGAACATCCAGGTATGCAACTTAGGATGTAAATATTACTTAGAAATTAAGTTAAACTTAGGCACCAAATAAATTTAGTGATGTACTAGGGAGGGGTCAAGATGCTTAGAAGTGCTAATTAATTTATGAAAGCGTTAGTTCAGAGAACCCATTGAGTTATACTCAAAGAACTTATAGAGCCAATGGATATCAGTAGAAATTTGTAATTATATAGTAAATAAAATTAACCTAGAAATACTTTCTGTCATTGGGATAAGAAATAAATAGAGAAGTTTTTTTTTTTTTTTTTGTTGTTGTTGTTTTGTTGTGCTAGGTATTGAACCCAGAGTTAGGATTAGTGATGTTAGTGATTCATTAGTGTATTTATTCTCTGTAAGTGTGATCCTCAACATTCCCATTAATCATTTACTTAATGATTTTAGTATTGATAGTCATTATTTAGATCTATTATTATATTAGGGGTAGTATTGGGGCATAGTAGTGCATGCCTATAATCCCAGAGATTTGAGAGGATAAGACAGGAGGATCACAAATTCAAGTCTAGTTTGGGCAGCTTAGAGAGACCCTGTCCCAAGATCTCAAAAAATAAATAAATAAATAAATAAATAAATAAAAGCACTGGGAATGTAGCTTAGAAGTAGACTATCCCTAAGTTCAATCCCCACTACCAGGAGAAAAAAATTAGGGGTTGTAAATAGTGGTGTGTGTGTGTGTGTGTGTGTGTGTGTGTGTATGTGTGTGTGTGTGTGTGTGTGTGTGTGTGTGTGTGTTGGGGATTGAACCCTGGAGTGCTGTATCACTCAGCTACATTGCCAACTCTTTATTTTGAGACAGTCTCACTAAGTTGCTCAGGTCCTTGCTAACTTGTTGAGGCTGGCTTTGAACTTGCAATCTTGCCTCAGCCTCCCGAGCCACTGTGTCTAGTGTAAATAGTTATTTTTATCATTCCATAATTCTTTATTAGTTTTTATTGTTTGTAATTATTCTATAAAGAAAAACTCTTTCCCTTTTTATTATTTTATCACCCTATAGTATGGTTCATACCAGCAACATCAGGAAAATACTTGATTATTTCCCATTTGTTAGTTTTCAGAAAACAGGATGGTGTCCTAGCAACTTTAAAAGTTGACTAATTTGTTTTTTTAAATTAATTTTAATATATTGATTATATTTTGGTTTATTCTAATTTCTATGCTATTTGATGTTTAAATTTTCCCAGTTTTGGCTGGTAAAAATCCTTTGGTTCCTGAGCAAAATGCAATGAACATTGCTTTCTAGCACAAGAAGTTCCAGGTTCATTTTGTACATTTCCTTCCCCAGATATGAGACCAGCCTTTTCTCCTAGAAGTCTAGTTCCCTTTATTGGGAAATAGTACTTGGGGATACATATACCAGGGTTGCCATTACTGTCCTCCCCAATTTTTGTCAACAGGGCTAGGAAATAAATATTTTTTAGAAATAGAGAAATATAAAATGAGCTCAGATTGATATATCCAATTTAAACACAGAATTATAGACTTTAAACTTCCTGATTTTATATTTGTTTCTCTTTTTTTGTGTTGTCCTAAAAATCTTGTTTCCTAGTAACATGAGTATAATTATTTGCACATTTATATATGTGTGTATGTATATGTATTTATGTGTACATGCAAATGTGTGTGAACACACACGAATAAATCATAAGAATACTAAATGCAGTTAAGATTATTTTAATGTTCTTTTTTTGTCCTAATGGTTATTTCTGTAGAGATCAGAGTAAAAATACCATGTTTTAAAGTCACTTGAAATTAGTTGTTGTTGGTTGTGCAACTAGTTTGAAATGTGACTAAAGTTTATTGTCTTTTGTTTGCTTTTGATTTTGGGGGATTGATTTACAAGTTAGTTTTCTGTTTAACTCTTATGATTTATTATTAAACATATAAACAAGAATGCAAATGTATTTGTCATACTGCCTTTCTTATGTAAAGATAATATATTATGAATACTACTCTGTTTCACTAAGCAAGGCATCCTGGACAGCAGTCAATAGAAGCATATAGAGAGAAGGTCACTCCTTTCTCTAGCTGTGTAGCATTTATTTGTGTGGATATACCAATTTCCTTTCTTTTTTTCCTTTTCTTTCCTTTCTCCCTCCCTTCTCCCTCTTCCTTCTTTCCTTTTCTTTACTCTTTGTCTCTCTCTCTCTTTCTTTCTTTCTTTCTAACAAAAATTGCTGCTATGAATTGTCTTGGGTATATATTACTTTTTATTTTATATTTGCTGTAATTTTTTAAAAGTAGGACTGCTGGGTCAAAGGATAAACACACACACATACTTATAGATAGATATATAGATAGATAGATAGACATGTATTTTCAATTTTCCCTCCATAGGAATAATGGTTTCACTATCTACAAGCACTACATAGGGTGTCTAATTGTTTACTAAACAATCAACTTTCAGTCTTACTATACAGTAGTAAAAGCTAAAAGAGTTTATTATCAAAATTTTGGTAACTATCTTAGTATAGTTTCAATTTGCATTTCTCTTATTATGAATGAATTTTACATGCTTAAAGGCTATTTGCATATTTTTCCATGAATGAGAAGTTATTTTAAATTGCATTCAACTTTAGATAATACTTATTGAATTCTTGTTATGAAAGATGAATAAAGATGGGTGTTTCTGCTTTTCCATCTTTTCTGCTGTAATTCTGCTAGTGTGTCCACTGTGATCCCCTGGTGTCTTTGATGCTTCTCATGTTACTAATGCTTCATTTTTTGCTTCCATTTTTTTGACTTATATCTTGCTTTTTCCCCCTCATGCTGCCCTATTTTTTCTTTTGAATTTTGTAATT